TGGAAAATATACCCTCACTTAAATATTCACAAGTCTTATTCTATTATGTTGATGATGATTGGATTTGTTGTTTTAAATGTAAATGATATAAGGATCTTGGTTTGATCTGAAGCTTTTTTTCTCAGTGGAAAAAAAAAAATCCTTGAAAGAGAAAGAGAAAAGTTAGAAACAAGATTAAGGTGCTCATTTCAGTAAAAGTTTTGGAAAAATTGTCAGATATCAGAACACATTAATGAAATGGAATGACAAAAACCAGTCACCTCCTCCACACTGTAGTCACTTTTATTCAACATAGTTTTGGAAATCCTAGCCATAGCAATTGACAAGAAATAGAAATAAAAGGCATCTAAATTGGAAAAGAAGAACTAAAACTGTCACTATTTGCAGATGATGTACTACTATATAGAAGACTCTAAAGACTCCACCAAGAAACTATTAGAACTGATAAATGAGGGGCACCTGGGTGGCTCAGTGGTTGAGCACCTGCCTTTGGCTCAGGTCATGATTCGGAGTCCTGGGATGAGTCTCACATTAGGCTCCCTATGGGGAGCCAGCTTCTCCCTCTGCCTGTGTCTCTGCCTCTCTCTCTCTGTCTCTCATGAATAAATAAACATAATCTTTTTAAAAAACTAATAAATGATTCAGTAAAGTTGCAGGACACAAAATCAATGTAAAATCTGTTGCATTTCTAGACACTAATAATGAAGTAACAGAGAAATTAAGAAAATAATTCCATTTACAACTGCACCAAAAAAAAAAAAGAATAAAATACTTAGGAATAAATTTAACCAAGGATGTAAAATACCTGTACCCTTAAAACTGTCAGACATTGCTGAAAGTAATTGAAGATGACACAAACAAATGGAAAGCTATACTGTCCTCATGGATTAGAAGAATTAATATTAAAATGTCCATCCTACCTCAAGCAATCTACAGTGCAATCTCCATCAGAATACCAATGATATTTTTCACATAACTAGAAAAAATAATCCTAAAATTTCTATGGAACCACAAAAGACCCTGAATTACCAAAGTAATATGGAGAAAAAGGAACATAAATGGAAGTATCACAGCCCCAGATTTCAAACTAAACCACAAAGCTGTCATAATCAAAACAGGATGGTACTACACAAAAACAAACACATAGATCAATGGAAAAGAATAGGGAGCCCAGAAATGAATCTACACTTACAGGTAGTCTATGACAGTTAGTCTATGACAAAGGAGACAAGAACATACCATGGGGAAAAGGTGTCTCTTCAATAAATGGTACTGGGAAAACTAGACAACTACATGCAAAAGAATGAAAGTATAGCACTTTCTCACACTATACACAAAAATAAAATCAAAATGGATTAAAGACCTAAATGTAAGACCTGACACCATAAAACTCCTAAAAGAAAACATAGGCAGTAAGCTCTTTGACATCAGTGGTAGCAATATTCTTTTGAATTTGTCTCCTCAGGCAAGGACAGCAAAAGCAAAAATAAACAAGTGGGACGATATCAAACTAAGAAGTTTCGCATAGTGAAAGGAACAATCACCTACTGAACTGGAGATATTCGTAAATGATGTATTGAACCAGGGATTAATATCCAAAATACATAAAGAACTCATACAACCTAATATAAAAAAGAAACAAAAACAATCTAATTTAAAGATGGACAGAGGTCTTGAATAGCATTTTCCAAAGAAATACAGATGGCCAACAGGCATATGAAAAGATGCTCAATGATTACTATCAGGAAAATGCAAGTCAAAACCACAATGAGATATTACCTCACACCTGTCAGAATGGCTATTATCCAAAAAAACAAAAAACAAAAAACAAAAAAACCAAGAAATAACAGGTGTTGGCAAGGATGTAGAGATAAAGGGATCCCATGTGCAGTGTTGGTGGGAATGTAAGTTGGTGCAACCACTGTAGGAAACAGTGTGATCGTTCCTCAGAAAATTAAAAATAGAACTGTCACATGATCCAGCAATTTCGGGTGTAGGTATTTATCCAAAGAAAATGAGGACAATAATTCAAAAACACATATTCACCCCACATTTATCACAGCATTATTTAAACAATGTGGAGCAAATTGTGGTTTAGGATATTAAAAATATTCCTAAAAGAATGAGTAGCACTCCAGTTCTCAAAGACAGGATGTTACCTCACTGGACATCCCTCTTCTGTCCCATTCTATCAGGCCCTTAAAGAGTTGATAGAGCACAAATACATTTAAATGGAAAATAAGTCAAACCCCAATGCAGTAGCAAAGGATTCATAGGATCAGTTTTATAACAGCTGGAAGTAATGGATCAGAAAGGAACATAGCATGCAAAGGGAAGGCACGGGCTCACACTCAAAGAAAATAAAATGTAAGGAACAGAAACAGATTCCTCACAATTGGTTTAATAAGAGTGTAAGTTACACTGTCAGAATTAATAAGAGTATAAATGTATTTTTAATAGCTTAAGGACAAGGTGATAAAACAATAAGAGTGAAATGCAAAGGAAATTGAAAGGCTAACAAATCGGGCACTGGGTAGCTCAGTAGTTGAGCGTCTGCCTTTGGCTCAGGTAGTGATCCTGGGGTCCTGGGATCAAGTCCTGCATCAGGCTCCCTGTAGCAAGCCTGCTTCTCCCTCTGCCTATGTCTCTGCTTCTTCTTCAGTGTCTGTCATGAATAAATGAAATGAAATGAAATGAAATGAAATGAAATGAGAAAGTCTAACAAATCAAGAACAAAAATGACATTCATGCAAAAATGATACAAATTAGCAATGTGAATATATATGAGATCCTATTGAAAATCTGTTAACTCACAATAGAGAATAGTATCCATGTGATCACAGTAAATACAGTTGAAAAACAAAGAAATTGAAAACAGAGAATATAGAAGATATTAAGACAGTCAAATATTACACAATCTCTAGATAATAATTGGAGTCCCTGAATAAAGATTCTAAGAAGTGAAACAGAGGTATCTTGAAAATATCTTTCAAGAAAATTTTCCTAGAAATGAATGAAGGACCAAACCTACTCCAGTAGATATGATATAAAATGCTCAAAACACAAACACATCATGGTTAAGGTGTTAAACCCTAAAGATAAGAAAAATTCTTCAGGTGTCAAACTAGAAAAAGCTAATTTTCTGCAAGAGAGAAAAAAACCAAGCTGGCTTCAGATTTCTCCGTTGCTACATTTAGTGCCATGTTATCTGAAAGCGGATGAAGAATGTTACCCAAGGAAGTTATGTTCAGCTGAGGTGCTGTTAAAATAGAAAGACAACAGGGAGATGTGTCCAGACTTGAAGAACTAAAAGCAGCTTTGAGATCTTTTTGGAAAAAAGAATCAGTAATGAGGTTCAGCCAATTAAAAAAAAAATCAAAATAATCCAGAAATGGAGACGTCATGGCAAAATGGTAAGAACCAGGAGGTGTGTTTAAGTGTAGAGCTAATCCTGAAGTCTGTGGATTAATGTCACAGCTAGACTATAAATGCTATAAATTAAGCAAAATAAAAAAACTAAATATACGGAAGATAAGGGGTCAGAGATAGAAAAAAATGTAGAAACATACTTATATTCTCATTTTTATCAGCAAGGAGTCAATCAATATTGTCTGAAATGATACCAGGTGATTTAAAATGCAAATACATAATTATTTCAATCTCTTCATATTTTACTTATATTTTTACCTTGGAATGATCATTTAGAACATAGTAATTATTACAGAGCAGAAACTTTTAAGTTAACCAATTCCTTCTCCTTCATCTCTACTATTCAACACAATTACTATTTATGCTCTTTATTTTAAAGAAATGGTACCATCTTATAAAAGTCTCTGAGCATATATATCTTAAAAGGTGGTGCAGTGATGTTCATCTATTATTAATAAAGATTATTTCTGGGTTTTGAGGCATTTTTTAAAATTTTAATGTTTGTGACTTTCTGCATTTAAAAAAGTTTTCTAAATCATTACTCTTTGTCTTATGAAACAGCTGCATGGATTTTCTTAAAAACTAGAAAATGTGTGCCAAAAATGGTCATTTGTGCATGATACAAAAATTTGGAATTATTTTCTTATTGGTACTCTTCTGTAACTTTTTAAATTTGAAAAATTAAAGAATTAATAGTTAAGTATAAGTAGAGGATGAGGATAGAGCGTATGATGCTGTGTATTTGAAACACACACTCCTGCACGAGTGACTGGGGGGTTCAGTCCAGGTAGCACTGACATCTCTAGATCTGTTTTAATAAATAATTGTGGAAGCCGCTGGTTCACAGTAAACATGTTTATGGGGATGACTTAAGGGACAAGTTTCTTTCCATTATAAGGCATGGAAGTGGTTTGGGCACACTGTGAACAAGGAGAGGAGAAATACTCTGAAAACAATTGCACTTTGGGGCTCAAACATTTTTTAATACTTGTTGAGATATCATTGATACAAAATAACATTCAGTCTTTTAACGTGAACAATTCAGTAGTTTTTAGAAGACTCCCCAAGTTGTGAAACCATCAGCATTATCTTATTCCAGCATCACCCCCAAAGAAACCCCCAAAAGAAATCCATTCCTGTCTCCCACCAGCCCCAGGCAACCACGAATTTCCTTTCTGTCTCTGTAGATTTGCTTATTCTGGACATTTCATATCAATGGAATCATACACATGTGGTCTTTTTTGACTGACTCCCTTCACTCAGCATGTTTTCAAGGGTTACCCACATTGTAGCATATATCAGCCCTTCATCTCTTTTTAATGCCAAATAATATCCCATTGTATGGATATATCACATTTGGTTTATCCATTCATCCCTTGATGAACATTCTAGTTGTCTCTACATCTTGACTGTTGTGAATAATGCTGCTGTGAACATCCATTAGCAAGTTTTTGTGTGGACATATGCTTTCAATTTGGGGTTTATACCTAGGGATAGACTTGCTGGATCATATGGTCACTCTTTGTTCTGAACCTCAAACATCTAAATTCCCTCTTCCTCTTTCCTCCCAGGCAGAGATGGTGCATAGCGCTTTCCAGGCCCAGCGGGCTTTCCTTCTGATGGCCTCTCAGCACCAACAACCCCAAGAGGTAAGAGTGTTATTTTGAGAGGCAGGGCTGTCTAGAGAATAGGTAATAGTGTAAAACAGACAACAAGGAAGCAGCAGAACCATTCACTCTGAGAGAGATCCCCAAAATGAGATGTAGAGCACGTAAGTCTGTCTCTAATCCAGGTCATGGTATGGAACATTTCTTTTGCTTCATAATCTTGTTATGGCCAAATTCATACTGTAACAATTGACATCACCAGTTTAAAGGGTCAATTTATTTATGTCATCTGCAGCCTATTCTTTTCTTTTATTGAAGTATAGTTGACACATACAATGTTATAGTAGTTTCAGGTGTATAGCATAGTGAATTGACAATTCTATACATTATGCAGTGCTCACCATGATCAAGTGTAGTTACCCTCCGTCATCATGATAAAGAATATGTAATGAGATAGATAATTAGATAGATAGATGATTAGATAGATAAGATAGATAGTAAATAGATATACACATACCATGGAATATTAGCCATAAAAGAGAATGTAGCCTGTTCCTTTTACTAGCCTCACAACCATTTTATAACCAAGGAAATACTGACTTCTAACTTTTAGCTCACATTTTGTGCTATTTTGTTATTAAAACCTATTCACATCTATAGATTATATGTATGAATTTGATTAGCTCCAGTTTCATAGTTAGCACAGATAGGCTAAGTCAGTGCTTGTTAAATGTATTGTGTGTGTGGATCATTTAGAGAGTGTCAGTGCAGTTTCTAACAACTTTTAACCTACCATAACATTGCCATATAAGGCCCAGAGTAAACTTTAATATAAACATAATAGTGGATGTTAAGAGCAAAGTGGTGGGTTGGCAGGAGTCCTTTTCATTCCCCAGGCTGTTATAAATTTCCCGCTTTCTAAACCCAGCACCTCCCTTCCCCCTATCCGGCCCAAACTATATCATGTAAATAACATCATCATGCTCTCTACCAAGGATTCCTAATAACAATATTTTGACCATGCTGATTGTGTAGTGAATGAAATTATTCATTAATAAGTAGATCTACGACCAGCATACATTGTTAAATAAGAAAAAAAATAAGAACTGTTCTTTTGACTGAATATTCTGCATCTGATGTTTGGTGACAACTATATAAATATGAAAGATATTTGTAGTCCTCAGAAATTGCGGTTATATTCACTTACAATGCAAAGGAGCAATGAAGTTTGCTCATCAACTGACCTTGAGGTGAGGAGATTATCCTGGTTTATTGGAGTGGGCCTTGGGTAATTGTAAGGATCCTTATAAGTGGAGGAGAACAAGAAGAAGAGTTGGACAGAAATCTGATGTCATGCTGCTGGCTTTGAAGATGGAGGAACGGACCACAAGACAAGGAATGAAGCAGCCTGAAAGAGCTAGAAAAAGCAAGGAAACAAATTCACCTGTAGAATCCCTCAAAGGAATGCATTTCTGTTAACCCCATGATTTGAGACCTATTCTGTATTTCTGTCTTTCAGAACTGGAAAATAATATGTTTGTCATTTGTTATACAGTAATAGAAAACTAATATAAGCCCCAGGGAAGTACCACAGCATGGTTACCAGGATGGCAAATGCATAAAAATCTGACAAAGTCATATACTAAGAATGTGGAAAATGTGAAGTGTCATGCTATGCTGGTGATATGTGATAAATTAGTATGTCTTCATTGGAAAAAAAATTTAGAAAAAAGATAATTGCATATTCATTATAATACAATAGCTTAAACTGAATAGCTCACTTTAAATTCTAAAACTCTTGAAATTGAAAAAGTTTTGCTGAGAATCTTGAGAAAGTAGGACTTTGACTTTCAGGGGAGGAAGTTCAGTTCCATAAAGGAACAAGACTCTCACCCTTCATCCTTCCTGGAACAACCACCTGTGTGCAGTGGAATCACCCAGAATATTTTTTAAAAAATACCAGAGCATGGATCTCACTTCAAGAGGGTCTGGTTTAATTGGTCCAAGGAGTGGTCTTGGCCTTGAGAGTTTTGTGGGTTTATCAGGTAATTCAAACTTGCAGCCAGAGCTGCCATGGATGTATCACTTCCCTCGTGTGAAATGGGGAGTTCGCATCCAGCCAAGATAGGCAACTTTGTAAGGATGGAGATATTGTGTGTTCTGCTGTGGATGCATTTTTCTCTGTGGCTTTCTCAATCCCTGCTCCCGATCCCCCAACCTCCTTTGCAAAGGAGAAAACTGAAAAATCACAACGGGATGCATTCTGGAAACAGCCTCAGCCTGGCATTTCTGTGATTAAAGTGGGAAGAGACTTGCATCACTGGAAGTCTTAGAGGCAAGAGTCATGACTTTCCAGGATGTTGCCCCCCTCAATCCCTTTTTTAAACACAAGAGATCTCTCCAATGGCTCATTAAATATTAGGTAAAGTAGAATAAGCAAGCAAACAAATGAATGCATTGGAACCATGGCATCCCCAAATGAGCTGCAGTTAGGAACACACATGTAGCTGTGCAGATTCCTGAGTGTGACAACTGTAGCTCCCCCTTCTTATGCTACTGCATACATTCTTGATAAAAGGGGGAGGAGTGGATCTGTTCCAGGGGGCTTGTACCCAGGAAATGTTTTCTGTAGCACTCATCACAATGCTCCAAGTGCAGTAAGCTCTGGCAGGATCAGGTTGGCACAATGGAAAGCAATTTTTTGATGTCCACCTCTCTTTGTGTCCCCCACATCTTTACCCACAGCGCTGCCCTAGTTCTTCCACTAGATATAAAAGCAGATTTGAGAGGTCATCAGTACAGTGGTGAAAACAGTCAGGCCTTGATTTTCCCCATGTACATTCTAGAAGATACAGCATAAAGGAAACCACCATCAAACAGGTGGTATTTCTTATGGGAACAGTGTTATAACCATCCACATCTTCCTCTCTTCCTTCTTTCAGGAGAATAAGAACTCTTATAATTTCAATTTACTGGTTTGTGGCAGTGGCTCCCAAACTTCAGTGTGTATGAGAATCACATCCAGGGTGTTAAAACACAGACTTCTGGGCCCATTTTACAGTTTCTGATTTGGAAGGTCTTGGTTAAGGCCCAAGACTCTGCATTTCTTTAATCCCATGTGATGGTGATGCTGGTGGTCCAGGGACCACACTTGAGAACCTATGAAATGTGGATTGTATTTGCTTACATCTCTAGCTCCAACTTATTTTAGATGCTTCAGGTTGTCATTTCTAGTTACCTCTAAGTCACTGATTCTCAAACTTTAATCTTCCTTTGAATCACCTGAAGATTTTGTTAAAGTGTCTGGTTCAGTGGATCTGAGGTAGGGCCTGGGAGTGCATTTCTAGCCAGCTCCTGGGTAATGCTAATGCTGCTGGTCTGTTGCTAAACTGTGAGCAGCAAGAATTTAGACATCACCATCTGACATCTCCACAAGCACAAAACCCTGTTCTTTCCTCCTGACATTTCTGTATCAAAGCAGACAATGTTGTGCTGCAGTAACAAACATCTCCAACGTCCTGGTGACTCACAACAGCAGAGGTTAATTTCTTGCCCCCACTTACATGCATATTACAAGGTGGCTTACTTTCTACTGGGTGAGTTACTAAATAGTGACTCCTACCTTTATTTCCTTAGAGTTGTAATAGGGCTCTGAGAGAAAAGGGTAGAAAATATATCTTTAAGAAGAGTTTCAGGGATTGGGAAGGAAGATATATTAGGGCAGGTGGACCTCCCAGGAGAGGTGCCTTCTATCCCATATAAAGAGGGCCACACTTATGCTGCAGAGCCATAAAGCAATATCAAAGGAACATTAGTGGTCAGTTGTAGCCTTATGGTTGTAGTTTTGATGCCCAAAATTAGAGGTGAGCCCCTGGAAGCTAGCCACCTCCTAGGACACAGAACAGCACTGTTAAAAGACAGGAACCCACAACAATGCAAGCTTGAAAGTCCTCAGTCAGCAAATATTTACTAAGTGCATACCATGGGCCAGGCACCATAAAGACGATAAGATGGGACAGAGCGTGGAGACAGGTAGATACAGATTATTTGGTGGGAAGAGATCTTAGAAATAATCTATTGCAACACGTTAGATTTAAAGGTGAGCCAGGAGAGGTTCAGAGAGAGGGTAATTGGTTTGCTCATAAGCCCCTAAGCTGATGAGATAACCTTGGTCCCCAGAAATCTCGACCACCGTGCTTCACACTGCACAGCTGTCTCCAGTGCTCTACACTGTGGCTTTAAGCCAGAGTGCCAGCCTTCAAAGAAACGAAATTTAGTAGGAGGAGGTGACCATCAGAAAGTAAAAGTACTTTATATGTATCAATTATAAGCAAACTGCCAATCAAGCAAGGTAAACCATTAGTGTTACCAAAATCCAGAGAAGGGATTTCATAGATAAAGGTGAATGGGAAAGGCATCACAGAGGAAATAAAATGATGATACAAGAGCTTCTGATATAATATTAGTATTACAGTAATATTAATATTAATAATGTGAATTCAGTTATCACAAACTAAAAAAAAATTCTGGGTTAAATATGTTTGAGGAAATTCCATATGCTGTTTAGTAAAGAAATATGTTAAGTGTTATTAAACCAATGTTTTGGGATACTTGGGTGGGTCAGCAGTTGAGTATCTGCCTTAGGCTCAGGGCATGATCCCAGGATCCTAGGATTGAGTCATGCATTGGGCTCCCTGTGGGGAGCCTGCTTCTCCCTCTACCTATGTCTCTGCCTCTCTTTCTCTGTTTTTCATGAATAAATAAATAAAATCTTAAAAAAAAAAACCTATGTTTTCCCAAACTTAATTGACCATGGAGGCTTTTTGAAGAGGGACATGTATTCATGTCACCAACACATCAGTTTGGAAAATGCACATGTACATTTCTTTTAGGCCAACACATCAGTTTGGAAAATGCACATGTACATTTCTTTTAGGCTGTTCAAGATGCTGGATGGGTTGTTGCTTTAGGTGGATTTTAACTATTGAGAGGCTGCGGCATACAAAATTCCAAGCTGGCTCTAAAATTCCTATGGCCTAATG